GTTTGTGGGTGAATAACTCGGATGTTTGATATCCAGTCTTTACCAGTGTTGGCAGGCATGTTGGGGAAAGACATAGGAAGCTCCGTTGTGTTTCAGGATTTTCTAAGTACCTGGGGGGAGCTTTCCTGGGGGAGTTTTCTTTGTGACTACTGTATATAACTTGGGGTCCATGATCCAATGTTCACCAAACTTTCAGCAGTTGTAGAAAAGCATCTGAGGATGCTTCCCTGCAAACCTGGTGTTTCTAGGTCTTTGGGGGCCAGTGTTATAGCCATTTAAAATGCAGATGAATCGACAGACTGATCCATTGATTTGTCAAAGAATATTTGTACAGTGGAGCCTTGCTTGACGACGTTAATCCGTTCCAGCGAAATCGCTGTAGAGTGAAATCCTCATCGAGCAAAATAAAGAAGCCCATTGAAATGCATTGAAAACCATTCAGTGCCTTCCAGTGGGTGAAATAACTGCTCGTCCAGCAAAGATCCTCTATAGGGTGGCCATTTTCTGCTCCCTGTATAGCGAAAAATCCATCCTAAAAACAGCGGGGAGCCATTTTGCACAGCAGGCGGCCATTTTGGAAACCTGACGATCAGCTGTTTTGATTGTCATAAAGCTTCGGGAACCGATCATCGTAAAGTGTTTTTTCCCATTAGAACATCGTTTTGTGATTGCAAAAGCGATAGTAGAAACCTAAATGTCAAGCAGATTCGTCGTTTAATGAGGTAATCGTTAAGCGAGGCACCACTGTATATTCATATTCGTTGATCCATTAACCTTGACGAATAACGGATCAAAATGAATTGCCATTTTTTATTTGTTCCCATCTCTAATAAGGATACATTACTTACATTAATACGAATTACATTACATTACTTTTACATTAATAAGTATACTCACCATTATTTTTACCATCAATATACACACCTCTCAGTTTATCAACATCCAAGCAAACTCTGCACTTTAAGCATATTCCATAACTATTACATGAACAGAATAGTTAATACAATATTACAAACTTTTATCCACCCATTAGTCATTTCTGGGTCCCTTCTACGCTACAGATTTCAAAGTCAAAGTCTTGCAGAATCAGCGCCGACCTCATCAATTTGCTACTTTTGGCTCAAATAGTCCTTAGCCATAGAAGAGGAGAGTGATTGGTGCATAGGACAAATCTTCTCCCCCAAATGTAGGGTTTCAGCTTTTGCAGTGTCCATATGATAGCCAGACAGTCTTTCTCAATGGTGGATAACTGTCTCTCACCAGGTTGGAGTTTCTTGCCAATAAAAGTCACTGGGTGTAGACTCCTGTATCGTCTGCCTGGCACAGCACGGCTCCCACCTTTGACACATTTGTGCAGATAATGAACTCACAGTCAAAGTCTGGTGCAACTAGGACAGATCCTGAAGTCTGCGCCCTCTTCAGATGATCGAAGGCTACCTGGCACTCTGACATCCACTAGATGTCCTGAGCTCACCTCTTTCAGGTGAAGCCTGTTTTCTTTTTGATTACTGGCTTCATTTTCTCAACTTCTCCAGAACAGCCATGGTTGCACTCTTCTTTAAAAAACCCTTGCTCTTGCCTTCACCCTCGTCCCGGGTCACCTCAAAATTCACAGGCAAATTCCTTTTAAGTGCAATCTCAAATACTTGGCTTATTTCAGATTTATTGAGATTTTCATCATCTGGAAAAGATTAGTGTACATTCCAATCCCAAAGAAGGGCAGTGCCAAATAATGCTCCAACTACCGTACAATTGCACTCATTTCACACGTTAGAAAGGTTATGCTCACAATCCCACAAGGTAGGCTTCAGCAGTATGTGGACCAAGAACTCCCAGAAGTACAAGCTGGATTTCGAAGGGCAGAGGAACTAGAGACCAAATTACTAACATGTGCTGGATTATGGAGAAAGCCAGAGAGTTCCAGAAAACCTTCTACAGTCGTGCCCAGCTTAACGATTGCCCCACATTATGATGAAGCCGCTTTATGATGATGTTTTTGCGATCGCAATTGCAATCGCAAAATGATGGTCTAAATGGGGGAATTTCGCTTAGCGATGATCGGTTCCCTGCTTCAGGAACCGATTTTCGCTTTATGACGATCAAAAACAGCTGATCGTTGGGTTTTCAAAATGGCGACCAGGTGCTTAAAATGGCTCCCTGCTGTGCTTAGGGATGGATTCCTTGCTATACAGGCACCAAAAATGGCCTCCGTATGGAGGATCTTCGCTGGACAGTGAGTTTTTAGCCCACTGGAACGCATTGGATGGTTTTCAAGGTGTTTCAATGGGTTTTTTAATTTCGCTTTGTGACTTTTTCCCTTAACAGCGATTTTCCTGGGACGGATTAACTTCATTAAGCGAGGCACCACTGTACTTCTGCTTCATTGACTATGCAAAAGCCTTTGACTGTGTCGACCACAGCAAACTATGGCAAGTTCTTAAAGAAATAGGAGTGCCTGACCACCTTATCCATCTCCTGAGAAATCTATATGTGGGACAGGAAGCAACAGTTAGGAATGTATATGGAACAACTGATTGGTTCAAAATAGGGAAAGGAGTACGACAAGGCTGTATATTGTCTCCCTGCTTATTTAACTTATATGCAGAACACATCATGTGAAAGGCTGGACTGGATGAACCCCAAGCCAGAATCCCAAAATGGAATTAAGATTGCCGGAAGAAATATCAACAACCTCAGATATGCAGATGATACCACTCTGATGGCAGAAAGTAAGGAGGAATTAAAGAACCTCTTAATGAGGGTGAAAGAGGAGAGCACAAAAATGGTCTGAAGCTCAGCATAGAAAAAACTAAGATCATGGCCACTGGTCCCATCACCTCCTGGGAAATAGAAGGGGAAGATATGGAGGCGGTGACAGACTTTGCTTTCTTGGGCTCCATGATCACTGCAGATGGTGACAGCAGCCACAAAATTAAGACGCCTACTTCTTGGGAGGAAAGTGATGACAAACAGACAGCATCTTAAAAAGCAGAGACATCACCCCGCCAACAAAAGTCCGAATAGTCAAAGCTATGGTTTTTCCTGTAGTGATGTATGGAAGTGACAGCTGGACGATAAAGAAAGCTGACCGCCGAAGAACTGATGCTTTTGAATTGTGGTGCTAGAGGAGGCTCTTGAGAGGCCCCTGGACTGCAAGGAGAACAAACCTATCCATTCTGAAGGAAATCAACTCTGAGTGCTCACTGGAAGGACAGATCCTGAAGCTGAGGCTCCAATACTTTGTCCATCTCATGAGAAGACTCCCTGGAAAAGACCCTGATGTTGGGAAAGAGTGAAGGCAAGAGGAGAAGGGGACGATAGAGGATGAGATGGTTGGACAGTTTCATCGAAGCAACTAACATGAATTTGACACAACTCCAGGAGGCAGTGGAAGATAGGAGGGCCTGGCATGCTCTGGTCCATGGGGTCACAAAGAGTCGGACATGACTTAACAACTAAACAACAACAAACATGTTAATTCATCATATGCTAATAGATCAAATTTAATTATTTTTATGTTGAAAACAGAGTGTTAAAATTGGTATTTCAATTTACATTTTTTTTACACACTAAAAGCCATACCGCAATGAAGAAAACCTTACCAGTGGTTTTATAAATTCAGACAAGATATATCCGTAGGAAAATTCCCAGGGTTCTGGTAGACAGAAGGTAATGGTGTCTGTGCAAAGTACACACGAAAATCATTGATCTATCAAACATGGTTGTTGTGGGTTTTTTGGGCTCTTTGGCCATGTCCTGAAGGTTGTTCCTCCTGACGTTTCGCCAGTCTCTGTGGACAGCATCTTCAGAGGACTGGAGTAGGATCTATCAAACACTTCAATTTAAGCATGCTCCCTCTTATGCTAAACTAGGGATGGGCAATTGTAGGTTTCCTTATGTTGTTGGACTGCATCTCCCAGCATTCCTCATCATTGTTTATGCTGGCTAGGACTTATGGAACTTGGAGTCCAATAACACCTGCAGGGGCCACCCTTTGCCCAGCTCTCTGATTTAGCAATCTGAAGCACAGTTTTCATCAAAATAATCTTACAAGCTCTGTTATGCTGGCTAGGACTTATAGAACTTGGAGTCCAATAACACCGGCAGGGGCCACCCTTTCCCCACTTCTTTCTTAAACTATACATTGGTGTGCACGTAGTAGCAGCTCTCTGATTTAGCAATCTGAAGCATAGTTTTCATCAAAATAATCTTACAAGCTCTTAAGATTTCAAATTATCACCCCTGCATTTTTGCATGAACTTTTCTATACATCTTTGTTTCTTAGGCATTCCTTGGAGGTGTGTGTGTATTGTCTCTCTGCCCACTGCTTGTATTGCTGAATGTTGAGTACTGTCAATTAGAGAAGACTTGTGCAGGATTTCTTGGTTGAAACACTATAAAAAGGCAGAAAGAAAATCAACAACAGGGTGTGCATTGTGTATTTCTGAGCCATGCAGTGAGGTATTTATATTCTCTGCTAGTCCTATTTCATTATCAGTCCTTTTGTTGTTGTTGTCTATCTCACTTTTTGACTCCTTAGGGGAAAGTAGTGGGAAAGGCATATTTTTCCCTAAAGGGCAAATGCCAAGAAAGCTTGCGCAAAGATGTAGCTGACTGAATGTGAACCACCGTTTGAGTTGTAACATGTGAACTTTATGTTAAAATGGAGAGAGAGAGAGAGAGCAAGAGGGAGGGAGAGGTATAGGGAGAAAGAGAGAGAAGCTGTTTGGTCCTTTAAAGTGCAGCAAGTGTTGCTGTGTCTTACAACGTCTGTTTAAGATCACGTAAATGCATGTGCCTTCTATGCTTTCCTGTGTGAACGAACCCTCCCACTCTCCTACTCACCCACTCGCACTTTATGTACATGCAGATGTATATACTACAGTACTTAGACTAATTTCTAGAAATTTTAATCAGGTAGATAAGCTGATAGCAAGTAGTATTTGATCAATATAATTTCTTTATGGATGGAGGGAAAATCATTTATTTTTGTCTTTCAGATGAGAACTCACCAGCAAACTTCTGGGATTCCAAAAACCGGGGTGTAACTGGAACACAGAAAGGACAAATTGTATGGCGGATTGAACCTGGCCCTTATTTCATGGAACGTAAGTAACACAGGGTCTTTTTATGAATAGTGACAGGTAGAAGCAGTGCCTGCCTGTGTTTTTTTCCTTAACATTTCCGCCTGCTCTGTAGTAGTCTTTTGTTTCAGAGAGGGCCACGCTCTCAAATCTTAATGGGCAGCATTAACAACATAGTAATTTGAAAGCATTAATAAGCAAGCAGTTAATCCTCTGTAACTAATAATAATTATGGCATGCTGTCAAGCAGATTGCAACTTGAAGCCATCCTTCTCGGTGTTTTCTAGGTAGGAAGTACTCCTCATTTCCTTTATCTGGGAATACCTTGGGACTGTATAACTTGCCTAAAACCACGCAGGCTGGCTCTTCTCCTGGGAAGCATGTTGGGGAATTGGACAGCAGCCAGATACTCCAGCTCGTAATAAATCAGCTCTCTCTGCAGGCAGCATAAGATATTTTATATGGATTGTGAAGCATAACCTATAAGAGTGTATTGTGTGTGTGCTGGTTTGTTGAGAGATGAGTAGAAATTTCCATATAGGCACCACTTGAGGAATTTTAGTTGTCAGAAAAATGCATATAGATTTAATCTTTTAGGGTTTTTTCTTGTAATTTTTTAAAAATATCTGTTAACTATTTCTAAAAAGTGAGAAAGTGAACAAGAGAAAAAATAGAGCAAATGACAATTTTTCAGGAAAACACATTGCTAATAAAATGGTAGTGACAATAGTGATGCACAAAATCAGTATCCGCACCCACAAAGTGCTGATATTCCACATCCAGTACCTCCCGCCCTTTCTTCCCTCCCTCTCCTTGCCTAGCCACTGCCTCTGCTGCTGCTGCTATGTGTATTTGTACGTGTGTGTGTGTGTGTGTGTTGCACATATGCGCTTCTCCTAGAGCAGCCAGTTTTGCTGCTCTTTCCCTGTCCAAGGCTGTCACCACCCTTGTCAGCTCTCTCCACTCTTCTTTTCACTCCTTCCCTCTGCCACTGGCATGCACCTCAACACCTAACTCTTCCCTTCTTTTGGAGACCAGAGCTGTCTGTGCTACATGACCTGTGCCAGTGCCCTAAATTGGGCTGCTGCCCTCAAGTAGGGTAGGCAATGCTGTTGAAATATGCTTCATTTGGAAGTGCAGTTAGCTTCTGTCCATGGAGTGAGAGGAGAGCAGCTTCTGGTTCTTTACAAAGCCAGTTGGCTTTTAAACAGGCAACACCCTAAGGGCTTCTGCTCATTGCATGAATAAAGTAATGCCAAGATAAAAACCATAAAAAAATCTTCCTAGATCTCTTCAATAGCAACAAGAACAACAACTCCCACTATTATTATGCAATACATACATACATACATATTGTTGTCAAGTCAAAACTAAGGTACAGTAACCGTAATAGGGCTTTCAGTAAAAAAGAGATATTAAGGAGTGACTTGAAGACACATTTACTGACTTGAAGACACATTGTTATTATTCACCAATTCCATCCCCAAAATGGTTTCCCATGGCTTAGTGGGGATTCAGACCCAGGTCTCCTGAGTCCTAGTCTATCACTCTGTTCCCTATACAGTACTACTCTAGGTAGCCATATCACACTGTAACACAATGTACATATAATTTGTGCACATAAATCTTGTTGTTACATATCTGCAACTCACCTTGGACTTTTGGCAACCCTGTGAAGTAATCTCCAAAATGTCTTGTCTTCAACAGCCCTGCTTAATTCCAGTAAACCCAGGGTTGTGGCTTTCTTTATGGAGTCAATCCATATCAAATGTGGTCTTCCTGTTCTGCCTTCCTCTTTTCCTAGCATTATTGATCTCCAAAACGTCTTGTCTTCAACAGCCCTGCTCAATTCCAGTAAACCCAGGGTTAAGGCTTTCTTTATGGAGTCAATCCCGTTCTGCCTTCCTCTTTTCCTAGCATTATTGTCTTTTCTGGTGAGTCTTGCCAGTGATCATGGTGTACCCAAAATACGACAGCCTCAGTTTCAAAAATTTTGTTTCCAGAGAAAGTTCAGGTTTGATTTGATCTAGGACTCGCTTGTCTTTCTTGTAGTCCAGGGTATTCACAAAGCAATCTTTCAGCGGCACATTTGAAACAAATAATTTTTTTCACTGTCAGCTCTCTTCACTGTCAGCTCTCTTCACTGTGCGTGGTAATTGGGAACACAGTTGTATCGATGATCTTGGTCTTAGTCTCCAAAGATACATCCTTACACTTGCTGATCTGTTCTACATTTTTTCCCTGTCAGCTCTCTTCGCTGTCTAGCTTTCACACCTGTGTGTGGTAATTGGGAACACAGTTGTGTGTGTCGATGATCTTGGTCTTAGTCTCCAAAAATACATCCTTACACTTGCTGATCTGTTCTAGTTCCTTCATTGCGTCTCAGTTTCCTGATTTCTTGGCTGCAGTGTCTCCATTTGGATTGTTGATTGAATGGAGGTATACAAAATGTTTAACAATTTTTATCTCTTCATGGGCAGCATTAAATTTGTGTCGTTCTTCTGTAGTCATGATTTTTGTTGTCTTGACCTTTATCTGCAGTCCAGTGTTTGTATTCTGAAATTTGATCCTGAAATTACTTCTTGGTGGGGATCAGGAGTTCCAGCACAGAATCCAGATATGGCCTGAATATAGACCTGTGACATATTATTCATAGAGACTGTGGTACTTGAGAGGAAACATGAAAGGGAAGCTAATAAATGAAAGAAGGATTCTGCTGCCGAATGCTATGTTCTGATCATCTATGTAATGAGCTGGCGCCCTCAGGCTGTTACCTGCTTGAAAGACTGCAAGCTTTGTACTCTTAACATTTAATGCCATCAGAGGTGTCTGGAAGTGTCATTCTTCCTATTCTCTGGGCAAAAGATGAAGAAATAAATGCAGGAAACGTCACACTCCTTTTGGATGTGGAGATTTAATCAAGAGGAGCCTCATGCAAATTCAGAGAAGGAGGATTTTCACTGCTTTCTCTGAAATGCCAGTGTGGTAAATACTGTAGTACCTACAGATTACTGCTGCTTTTGGGGTTGGACTTCTTGCAGGTGGAATGTACTTCCTGGCCTCTCTGTACAATATGATGGTACGTTAAAACTGAGTTGTATGGGACTGCTTGCCCGATTTCTCTCACACTCCCCATATCTAAATACAAACTTTTGGTTCCTATTCAGGGCTCTAGATCAGAGCTTTAAAAGGTTTCTGACTATAACTTTCAGAATCTCCTGACCATAACCAAGCTAACTAGGAAACTTTGGGGAATTTTAGGCCAGAAAAGCAATTTTTCTGATTACGGATCACAATAAATAGCATATCGATTTTGAAGCATATGTAGTTTTCATTAATATGTTCTTCCTCTTCTGAAGAGTGTTCCCCTTTCCAGCCTTGCTTTGTAGAAAGGGGACATGAAAAGGGGAAAGGCTTCACAATGGCCCTCTTCATGATTGTCCACTTTATTTTCAGTTCTTGTGTGTGGTTGTGATGATCCCAAATGAATTTCTCAGACCCTTTGTCTGCCAGTGCTTTAGTATTATTATTGTTATTGTTATTTGAAAATGCAAAAGACAGTCTTTGATTTGTATTCCTGCATTGAGTAAGGGGTTGGACTTGATGGCCTTATAGGCCCCTTCCAATTTCATTGTTCTAGGATTCTATGATGAATACAAGTTTTAACCAAAAACTTCAGTACCCATTAAATATCAGTAAAATAGGTATGCTGTTCCTGCTACAGTATTGACATTTTTTGCTCTGATGATGTTATTTGAAGAGATGTGCAGATGGTTATAATATTTCTATAAAATTCCACAGCATTATTCCCAGTGTCTCGATGACTATGGGGACCACTGAAATGCACTTCGTTCACAAGTGAGTTATTTCTATTGACAGGTCTCTGTCAGCCGCCTGGAGTGGTCCTGACCTGACCAGATAGGCGGGATATAAATAAAATAAATAAAAAAATAATAAAAAAAATATTTTGTTAATTTTTTATATTATTAATCTTCGACTCCAGCATCCCCTGTCAAATGTCCAGATATTTCATTATTTATTGTTGTTGTTGCTGATGCTGCTGTTACTGCTGCTATTGTTTATTGTTCTAATTGCTTCTTTCCAGAAAGTCTTGTTCTGCCTAGATACATTGGCACTTCCTCAGGAGAGTAAATGAGGCTAATCCAGAGTGAAGGCAACTAGGATAGCTACTTGGGAAAAGATGGTGCTAAAACACTTTCATTCAACAGTGTCCTTTTGTAAGCCTATGTTTTATGCTGAAAAGCTAGATGGATGAGAATGGGCTAGGTTGTTTCAGTACCATACCACTTGCACACATATTGATTCAACAGTCAGGTCCATCTTTTTTCTGTTAGTACATTTTAATTAAGAAAACACTTCCAAATGTGTTTTGTTGATCCTTTCAAGCCAAGGAGCTTGGTGAAATTTAAAAGGAACTGAGTCCATTGCTTAGGTCAGTTTAATAAATTTATAATGGATTCTGCAAAGAATAAATTCCTAAAGAATTCTTGTTCCAGTGTTTAACACAGTGTTAATAAACACTAGTTAATAAAATATAACAACAGAAGGGAACATTAATTTATATATACCTTGCAAAGATATAATTTTATTGATTTAGTACCCCAGTAGATTCAGAATGTACTTGCCACTCTAATTTCGTCAGAAATGGTTGCTTGAATACATACAGCTGTTGGCATGAACTGAAGAGGGTCACTCCAAGTGTCATTCCCCCTGATCTCTTGATTTCTGGCCATTTCTTCCTTCCCCAACAACTCTCCATACTATGCTCCATTATTTCCAGTATGTACACTAAGTTTCACATGTGGGTTTCTCGGGGCAAAACGGGCTTCAGTGGCTCCCTGAGGGGGCTGCTGTGAAAATAAGTCAAGCTCTTCTTCTATGCCTAGTGGCTTTCTAATAAAATATTTACTTCTTTTTTAAAAACAAATTAGAAAGAACTGAGATCAGTGTTTGTGTTCCAAAAACATTTTTTAAAAAAATCATGTAGAAATAAAATAAGTTAA